TTACAAGATTCAGTAAATTGATGAATTACGGACTATAAATAAAAGTTACTGAGCCCTCGCAGATTTAAACTTTTCAGTTTTCAGTTGCTTTCATCTTGCTTGACTTAGGAAATATTACTCAGTGCTGAAAGTGCTTCCAGGAGTCTATCTAGGAAAATTTATGTGTATCAAATGAATTTTAGCAATCTTTTATTTGGGAAGGTCTGACTTTCGTCTAGCACTGGCTTTGTGACTTATGCCAGGAAGTATTCACCTTTGCTCCATGTTCCTACCAGTCCTGCAAAACCTCACATGGATCAAAAAGTCAGTCAGCATGTGTTCCAAAATGACAAAGAAGCATTTTTCAGCCAAAGTCTCTGGCTGTTCTAAGTGAACATGCCTGCAGCACCACGGGGGGCTAATGAGTGACAGTATGTTAACCTTCCCCACCAAAGAATGGTGTGTGATCTCTTTAGCCTTAAGCCTATAGATTTAAGATTAAGTTTAAAACAAATCTGCGCTTTTTTTGTAGTGGTTACTTGTAGTATCTCCAAACTTATCACTGGAACCGAGGTACCACAATCCTTGGATTAATACAACTGAGTCACTTGTCAACTGAGGTGTGGTAACTGTCTGCTTGTGTGCGCCTAATCCATTGCAAATGTGAAATAAAACATATTAGTTTAAACTACCATGAGGGGGATTACCATGGTAATGTGTATAATAATTTGTTATACACATCTTGCTACACGGTAAAGGTAAAGCAGAGAGACAGTCAGTTGCCGTGACTCTGCTGAAGAGCAGGAATTCATTAAGCTGCAAGAAAACAGTCACTTTTGAAAGACAGTTTATACCAGAAGGGGAAGATTTTTCTGCTTTGTGTTTGAAGACTAGTCACCTTTCTGTTCAGTCCCTTAAAACCACCCAGCTGCTGAGGTGGAAGCCAGCTCATTCTCATAAAAAGTCTGTCCCCATCTTTCTTATAAACCCCCTTTAAGTACCAGAAGGCTGCAAGAAAGTATCCCCAGAGCCTTCTTTTCTCCAGGAGGGTGGTGGGCATAAACCAACATGGTGGCGTTGGCCAAATATACTCCCTAGGATTCAGAGAAAATATTGGGATAAAAACCCAGTTTCTATAGTTCCAGAAAAAAGATCAAATTAACTAGAACAAAGAGAAAAAAATACATCAAGCCACTGAGACCAAAAAAGATGTCTGTCATCAGCAGAAGAAAGGCAGTAGAGCAGGACAGCAATGAAGATAATGGGATTTGGTTCCGGAGGAAAAAGGCAGAAACCAGCTGTGGGAGAAAGAAAGATGAACTGTGTAATAAGAGACTGGTATTAGACTGCCAGAGCCTAGGAGATATAACAAAACAGTGGGCTAGTAGGAGGACTGAAAAAGATAAGAAGGGCTCTGCAGCAGGAACGGAGAGGTTCTGGTGTGGGGATTTGAACTGGTTAGCCTCGATAAATTAGAACTTGGAACAGAGGTCTTATAAGTGGTTGAGCAGACTGGGACTTCAGTAAAAGGCAAGAGATGGAGTAGAGCTAAAATTGTGACAGAAACAGGCAGGAGGTAACAGCAAGAAGTATGCAAAACTCGCCAGGAGCAGCCAGAAAAGTACTGATATTCCTGAGTCCCACCATCTTTTATCTGTGCAAAACCAACTGGCAAAGCATCTTACTCCCCTCTAGCATGACATCACACAGAGAAAAATAGCTATCACTTAATCTGTTACTAAATGAAGAGGCTTGAGGTGCTGGAACTAGATGGCCCAGTCTTTCCATGTATGTATGTATGTAGCTATAGGATACATTTGGATGTCACAGGATGGGATTTTTCTTTTTAAAGAAAAAAAACATTCCAAAAGTGTATGCACAAAAAAAATCAGAAGAATTATGGGATTGGGAGGTCAAGCACTTTCTTGTTACATAAGTAAATTTAATTCATCTTGTTTGTGCTTGTATATTAAGATGACGTGTTTAAGATTTCAGGAAGAAACCTAATATTTGTATTTTCTTGATCTTTACAGGACAAAGTATTGTGCTGAGAAAACAGAACATCCATAAAAGTTTCTGGACCACTGTGAACCATAAAATAAATACGGCTTTTCCTTTGGAAGTACATGCAGGGAATACAGTCTTGTCCCCAAGATACTGAGGGTAGGATTGACCTGTGACTAGTACACAGGACTTTTTTCTTTCTTTAATATCACAGTTTCATGACTCTGGACTTGGACAGGAAAGTGCACGGTCCCCACAGCGGTCCTGCTTTGAGTAGTGCTTGCGGTTCATAAGGCAAAACTCCTGAGTCAAGCAGAGAAGATCTGAAGGGCAGTGTTGTGGCATGGAATACGAAATTCATTGTAATCGGAGTCATACCTGGGGTTCACATCAGGGGAAAAAATCCTTTCATGCTTTATGCCAGAAGATCATCTCCAAGGAAATCTGACAGCTTCAAAGGTGTCAGTGAAAAGTTGTTGAACTTCACACACACTGTTAGATAAAGATCACTATTCTAGAATATATTGCAGATAACTCAGTCTTGCAATCCATTTGCACGTTCTTGTTATTTAGACAACTCTGTCTATAACATTCAGGCTGTATGGACACATATAAAAGTGATTTTCAAGAAGTCCTAAAATTCCTTGTACCAGAAGTACAAAGATCTTTACTAGAAAAATTTGCATATTTATGAATTACATACATTGTAATACACTATAACACAAGTGCTTTTTCTTCTCCCAAACAGCTTGTAACTATCATAAACCAGAGGAGTCTGAGAAGAGCATGAGATCATTTTTCTTTTCAGAAGTGCTTTGGGATTTTTAATGGCCACAAAATACACAGGACTTAATTTTAACATTTATGCTAAGAGTTTCTTGCAGCGCTATGGATAAAATGGGAATAGACAAAATAGCTCTCCTGAGACACATAAACTCCAGATTTAACACAGTTTGAAAATCAGGTGCACTGGGGTAATGTTCCAAAACATCCTCAAAATCAGTCACCCTTGCAGTTGTTGAATACCTGTGGCCCCTTTTCTCCTTGTGCTTAATTTCCTGTTTCTTACTGAATGTGCACTCTGTGCCATTTCCTTCCAACATCTCTAACAAATATCATCCCACAAAACAAACCTTTAAAATTTCCTGACTTGTCCAAAAACTTATTTCCAGTAACAGGACAAAAGAGAAAAATAATATAAACCTCAACATGTTCAATGGTTTCCAGCAAAATATTTTTATTTTTCTACCAGCTGAATCCAGTCTTCATTCTTAGCTGTTATCTCCCCCTTCCTGATGAGTCTAGCGTAACAGAGCTAAAGTTTTTGTCTGATAACATGGATTTAGTTGCTGCATCCTTTCATGTGAGCTGTTCTAGCCTGCTTTGTTCTCCAGAGCCTTGCCTTCTGTTGCATACAGTGCAGATTGGTCTTTTATCCCAGTCTCTATTGTTTGGCAGATTGTTGATTTTGTTGTTGTTGTAATGGGCATCTTAATGGCCAAGCTGCTTCAGGAAAACATTTCAGAGAAAATGAATGAATTTATAGAGAAACTGCCACCCAGCAAATTGTATGGGCTGCTGCCTTGAAGAACATTACTTGCTTTTCCATGTTTGTTTAAGAGGGCATATTTACTCAGAAGATGCTCAGACTCCTTCTTTAAAATATGATGAAATTGATGGAGCCATTCCTTACGTCTATGAGATGATCTAGATTTTAAACAGATGAAAGAATGTAATTGTTTAAGATACATTAAGGAGTTGTAATCACAGAATCATAGAATCTTTGGGTTGGAGGGGACCTTTAAAGGTCATCTAGTCCAAACCCCCTGCAATGAACAGGGACATCTTCAACGAGAACAGGTTGCTCAGAGCCCCGTCCAACCTGACCTGGAATGTTTCCAGGGATGGGGCATCTACCACCTCTCTGGGCAACCTGTGCCAGTGTTTCACTACCCTCATTGTAATCATATGCAACTCTTTCAAACCAATTTATGCCTCACTAACTTCTGGTCATGTATTTTTTTCAGCTCGAGGATATAAAACTTATGGAATACTGAACACTAATATGTCAGTAACTCACAACTGCATAGTTCCTTTTTCCTGTGTGAACTAGTCAGCATTTGGATATAGGTAGTTTCTTCCAGTGCATAAGAGCATGGTCAGATCTCAAACAAATATGTAAGAATTTTATTAAATTCAAAGAGCTGGACATCAAGCTGAATGCAGAGGGTCAAATATATCCTCAGGTTAATGAGAGTCAAGGAAGAGGTTTCAGGACTGAAACATGAAAATTGATAGAAATAAGTGAACTTACAATGCCGGAAGAGAGCTGCAGGGAGAGGTTTTGAGCTTAAACTTCGCAACATGTCAGCTGGCTTACTGGAACACATCCCTCTCCTTAAAGCAAAGTATTTCCCCTGTCGCTTTTATTTCAGGAAAATAAATCATACCAGTAAATGAGAGGTTTTGGTGGCAGAGGTTTACTTGTGCTGGTCTACTGAACACAACCATGTTGGTCAGCAATCAGGGCCCCACAGCCTTAGCCAAAACAGATGTAGCAGTTATTTATCAAAGCATTTGTTCTTTGCCAGAGGTAGAGAGTGGGTGGTTCTTGTGAAAGGGCAAGTGCGCACTGTCACTCATTGAGGTATAACACAGACGTAGCACGTACAACCTCCCTTTTTACTACTGTACTTTGGAGCCACTTATGTGGAAGCCCTAGACAACAGACAAAACAATGTTTTTACTTCTTTAGTCTGAACACACCATCTCTGAAGTCATGACAGTGCATGGTAACTTATATGAGTTGTATGATAAGAAGCTGTCAGCGTTTAATGTGTTTTTCCAGATAACCCACCCAAACTAACATCTCTTTTCAATATTTTTCAGAGCAGCAGTTATCTGTTAGTGACAGACTTGAATCATTTTATACCTTCTTTCTAAGCTCTTTGCCACTGAGTCTCACTGTCAGCAGCACTTTGGGTTGTCTGAGGTCTGAGGAGGAAAAGCTTTCTTACCTAACTGAGCTGCTGCCAGCATCGAGGTCCTGTGCTGTCACTGCACCTATAATGGTCCCCACAGGCGTATCCTCATAAACCTCCATTGTGTACACAGGCTTGCTGAAAACTGGAGGTTCATCCATGTCCAACACATTTATCTTCACAGTGGCAGTATCTTTGAATGGACCCACCGAGTGAAAACGATGGTCAAGATGGAGATTGGAGGCCTCAACTTTAAAGGTGTATGCCTTTTTTGTTTCAAAGTCTAACGGCTGTAGAAAGAACAAAAGTAAAACATCAGATTTGAATAAAAATTAATCATTGCAAAATCATTTTGGTAGGATTAATCTGACATAACTTAAGGCACCTTTGGTGTAAACTTCACTCGTTAGCCAATCATCTTAAGCTTGTTTTGCAGTTCATCTCATGCTAAAGTGGTTTCTGAAATAGGCCAGATGAATGGAAATGACTGTTTCTCCACATAAAAAAAATCAGGATGACTGGCATGGATGTAAACAGTTACACTGTAGATGTCTGAAGGTAAATGAGTGAGATTCATGTCCTGCAAATGAGCTATGTGCAGGTTAGCCAGAGATTTGCATTCACAGCTCCTATATGCACAGGCAATCAAGTGTCCCTAGCTGATCCAGTTCCTTAAACAGAAGATTTCCTTTTCTTTTAGCGGGGAAAGCTTTCAGTGGACCATGACAATGATGGAAATGAGCCCAAAGGAGAACTCTGATATATACCAATGGGTCAAACCAAACCTCACCTATGGCTTGGAATGTGAATTCAAACTTGATTTGAACCAAGTTTTTCCTGTAAAATGCCTATCTTAGCTGTGGACTGCTATTCATGCCATATATTTGAGCCACATGTATATTGAAAAATGCAGATTTTGACTCTGTCTTATGATCCTAGGTGTAATCCATAAGGTCTTGAAAATGGCATAGCAGCTTTTGTGTACCTGTGTGTGTTTTTGATGGAAATGCATCCTGCAATCAGGTTATTTTGGTGTGGATTTCTGTCAATGTACATCAATACATAGGTGCCTTTGTTTTTAGAAAAGTAACAAACTCAAAAACCTTAATGCAGTCTTATTTAGTTGAAAAGACACAGGACGTTTATTTTCAGTTAAGACGTTTAGATGCATTTGCTTTCATGTTGTTTTTAACCTGACAGTCTTTTCCTGACGTCTGGGTAACACTGGCACCTAGTGGTGTCTCTCAATAATTGTCAAGTTGGAAATTTTCTAACGGGAAAGGATATGCTATCTGAAGAAGAGAGCAGGATCACAAGTATATGAGCAAGAATATTTCAATGCTGTTATGTTTTTTACCTCCAGACATCATTACTGCAGTGTTTCCAGCCATTTGTCACAGCTAGGATAGATTTAAATTCTGCCATTTTCTGTCCTTATCACAACAGGACATAATTGGCCAGATGACTGGCTGGTGTAAATTGTAGTAGCTCCATTAAAATCAGTTGGGTTACCTTGACTTGTATTAGCTGCACAGCTAGAATAATGATTTTAAAACCTTATGAAAGACTTTATAATTTTAGTAGACTAGATGGTCAGCTTTTTCTGAGCTGGGGATTTAAAATTAGCCATCCAAGTCTATATGCCATGGAAATAATCAGGCTTGAAAGCCAAGTACTACTAACCAACCCACTACCACATGCGACCGTCCTCTTACAGACAAAATTCCCAGCAAAAGCCAGTATCAGTTGCACCTTTATGACTGGACTGATAAAAAGAAGGAGAAACTAAAGCTAAGAAGAAACAGACAAAATTAATTATGGAAGGTCTTGTTCCCCAGTGGTGAAACCCTAAGCTGTTGCCTTCACTACAAATAGATATGCTGCTTCATTATCTAAATTGTTGTTATATTGTCTTTTCAGTTTCTGTGGAGGCAGGACTCCAGCTGGGGTCTCACCAGAGTGGAGTAGAGGGACAGAATCACCTCCCTCGACCTGCTGGCCACACTGCTTTGGATGAAGCCCAGGAAACGGTTGGCCTTCTGGGCTGCCAATGCACATTGCCAGGTTGTGTTGAGCTTCTCATCAACCAACACCCCCGAGTCCTTCTCAGCAGGGCTGCTCTCAATCCTTTCATCCCCCAGCCTGTATTTGTACTTGGGATTGTCCTCATCCTGCCTTCTCTGTCCTTGTATGGGTCTGATGATAAACACAGTTAGAGGCTAAACAATATGTGGCCAGTACAAAGCACCGATGGCATTCAAAATAAGAGACAGGCTGAAAGTGATGAGCCATTGTCAGAAAAAGCAAATAGTGACAGACTCCCACAAAATAGCAGAATTTAGACTTTTAATATACGTGAGGCTAAACTGCAGCTGAAACATCTGCGGAAAGATGGGATATGTTGCAAATGGTAAACCTAGGATTTAATTTCAAAAAGAAAAATATTTTGTACAATATATATCACACAGCAAAAGAGTGTGATTTTAAGGTATTGTGTTTATGGGGAGTCCATGCTACAATATCCTCATCAGTTCTGGTCTTTCCAGTTTTGAACAGCTGAGCCATAATACATAGCTATTGACAGTCTCAAATTTTGGCATTTGTCTGGTATGCCCAGAGTTTGCCTGAAAACAGAAGAATTGAATATCTGCTGAGCTCTCAGGCAAAACTTTTTGGATTTTTAGTTTTAAAGATGTTAAAATAACATTTCTTTGTGTTTCCTTTTTTAGCAGGTATCACTAAAATCTGTGAAGGAAATGAGTGACCCACAATATTTTAGCTGCCTTTTGGTTTTTTAAACATATTCTGTTGTTATATAATAAATGTCTGACAGTACTCAGTCCTGTTTCCATTTAAAATCTGGAATACTGGTAAGGGTACAAACATTGCAGATTGTGTGAATCTTACAGAAAAATACTGTAAGATTATCAAAACCTCTTTCAGTTAATCACATTTTAATGGAATGACTTCATAGAGGCTTTTTTTTTAAAGAACCAATAGAAATATTTATTCCTTATATAAAAATAATTCTATTCAGAAAGATAGGTTTGAATAAGACTATTATTTTACAAAAGTTACGAGTTTTTGCACAGTAAACAGAATTTTTGCTAATATTAAGCTTATTAACTGTGAACTATTCAACCATTAGAAGAGTATTCCTAATTGATATTCTAAGTACTAGTGACAGAATAGATGTATTTGGCCCCCCTACTGGTTCTTATCTGCCTTTTCCCGTGTTGTGGTTACAAGCTGCTCTATACTGTTGCATAGTAAAGCACTATCAGCATATACACAGCTGTGTACAGCAAAGGCATTCTACAAATCCCAAAATCAAATAACACATACTGACAAATCACTTTATCTTGCAGCTCTGGAAGTACCATGAATGGATTTATTTAGTACGACTAGGAAAGCACCCAAACATCTCTGTGGGTTTTTTTAAATTTATTTAGAAATAAATATATTTTTAAATATTGCTGTTTCCCAGATTCAAGGTAGAAGAAATGCTACTATACAGATGTATCCATATCTAAATTTATGTATTAGATAGATAGATGGAGGGGGGGGAGAGAGAAAATTAAAGAATGGAAAGCAAAAAAAATAGGCTGAAAGACATAATGAATTCTGACGAGAAGCACAGCAAGGGTGGGAAAAGAACTCTCCTGTCAGTTTACTCCGCTTCACAAAGAGGCAGGACCAGAAACTCCAGAAATTTCTGCTTTTTATCCACACATATACCACAGGATCATTTGTGATACAGGCTTTCATGATCCACAGCTACAATGATGGAAAGTCATATTTTGGGATGAGACTGTAAGCCCCGGGACCTATGGATAATTACGGACAGTAGCACTGGGTTGAGTGGATCCACATATTCACTTAGGCTTGTCTTCATACTAGCATCGTGAAATTGTGTCGAGTGCGCCTCTCTCAAAATCTGGCAATGCTTTCCCCTTGAATATGGGTTGAACGTATATATATTTTGTGAAATACTGCCATCAGTCTATTTGCTGTACATTGACACATTTCAGTAACAACACTTCTGCAGTGGATTTTAAATAGCATAAGGAAATAATTGGTATTGGTTGGTTTATTACAGCAAGCTCAGAATCAGCCAGGAACATTCATTAATTACAGAGTTGAGAATGCACAGTAAAAAAATGAAGTCTGTGGGCCAAATCTATTTGACCAAATCTGAAACGAGTGTTTCAAGATTTGATGGGAAGTGGGCGAAATATATGTATGTTCTGGATCTGGAGAAGGGGAGAAGCTGACCAATGTCAGGGGTTCAGCTGTTTGCTGTTCTCAAAGAATCTTACCCTTTTCTGCAGGTGCCTTTCACTGTTCCAGGAAAAAACAAACCCAACAGCTGTATCTGCAAACTGCAGAGACTGAAGGTCTTCCCTTCCTCACTCTTCCCATCATTCTTCTCTGCGTCTGCCATGGTCTTTATGGTTGTATCATCTGCACCCAGGACACCTCTTTCTGCCTGCACGGAAGGACTTAATATTGCCTGCCTTTCCTCAAAACGCAAAACTATCCATCACATTCCCCACTCACACAAACCCATGAGTTATGACTATAGGCAGACAGTGCCTATGCACATACATCCCTGCCGAGGGTATTCCCTGTCTCTGGAGAATGAAGGGGTGGCGTGAGCAGTCCATACAGTCTTGGTAGTAAAGCAAGCAGGAGCAGTAATGCAACTCTGGCCGAGGGATGCCAGGAGTCTGCCTTATGCTCACTGTTGGGGTGTGCAGATGCTATCAGACCGCTCTTACATTCCAGCAATGCCCCAGCACTACAGACGTGGGCTGTCCCATGAGCAAGTCAGCAGTCAAACTTTTACTTGCTGCCTCCAGTTAAAGGCTTTTTAAAAGTGGCCCCCAGGGTTACAAGGAAGCATACACTCTGGATACCCCCCTGCCACTAACTGGGTCTGTCCCCCCATTTTCTGTTATTTTATCGTCACTGAAGTTACTGTTTCTCATCAGGCAGTGCTATGTCCTCCCTGACACGCTATGATTTCATGGCTATAGCTTTGTCACCTGATCAGTTAACAGTGGTACACGGCTTACAAAATGTAGGATGCAGAAGCTCCCTGAGCTTCCAGTGACCCACATGGAGAAGCTCACCCAGCATATTGCAACAGTGTAGGATCATACCAGGTGAAGCCTAGAGTCCGTTTTTTCCCTGGGTTTTAATGATGCTCTGCCCAAATTAATAAAATAATGTCTGAGCCAGACACAGTGCTTGAACCCTGCTCAATTTCTGGATTAGCTCATGCTGAGCCAATTAAGAGGCTTCTCACACAATGTGCTTATCCTATAAACTCATCCTTAGTTTAATAAATTTAGTGCCAACTGTTCAGTGAAGCTTGTTTTCCTTTTCTGTGGGGTTAGGTCATTGAAGATTTCTTATCAGTTTCAATAAAATCGGGAACTTGCCTGGGGATGACACACTTTCCCTCCATACCTGGGAGTACTACTCTGTGCCCCACTTGAGGCCACACTCTGGTACAAAGGAGATGGTCCCTTCTGTCACCCTGCTTCTTGTAGCTTACACTCGCTGTAGTTTGCCAAAGCAAACTATATTTACCATGTAAATATAAAAGCCAATAAACACTGTATTAAATAGCACCAGACAAGGGAAGAAATTAGTCATACTATTCCTGTTACAGTAATATTTCTTACTCTTATAGTGAACTGTATGCAGCACGATCCTAAAGCCAGACATTTTCCCCTCTTTTTACTGATACTGTTTTCCCCCTTTTTTTTTGAGAGAGGAAGCTATTACAGTACTAACCACACAGTGGTGCTAAAAGGCACTTGGATGATTTCTTTAGCAGAATATAAGAAAAGCTATTCCATTTTTAATATATGTAACTAACACAAGAGTAGTAGTAATCAAGCTTACATTGGATCATAGCATGAAAATAAATTAGCTACCAAACCAGATGATTTAAGATGTGCACCTCATCCAGTTGTAGCTGTTTGTGCCCATTTAGTGTCTGAGAAACAGAGCATGGCCCTTTGCCTCTGCCAGTATGATCAACATGCTGAAAAGCACAGTTTGGCTCATGCAATTACTTATCATCAAATGTAATTTCCACCAAAAATAAACGTAGTCTGGGAAGACTTCATTTTTCTCAATTTTTATATAGAAATGTCTCCATGTGCTTTTGCATAACAACAGAACAAAACACCATCTATGCAGTGACTGACAGTTTCTAGCTGCAAGAAAATTTTCAGGAAAAATAAAAGAAAACTTTATAAATGGTTTTGAAATGGCTCAGCGCTGAATTACTGCAGCCCTACAGCATCAGAATATGCTATGGCAGGAAAAAATGCAAACCTGTTTTTAAAGCACATGGCAATTTTTATTAGTGGCTTTGACTGTGTTTTATTTATAAATCATAATTGAAAGTGTCAGTCCTATTCATTCACCAGCTTTGATTTAAAGAAGGACTTAAAGTTATAACTAAGTTAAATATTTACATAATACCACAATTCAAATCAATGTTTTGAACACCGTGCAATGTGAAATTGCTTCTGTGCAGTCAGATGAATAGTGCTGTTGCAGGCTTGTACAGTGCAGGTAGCATGCATTATAATAGGTGACTACAGAATTGTGAATGTCCAGCACTTCTGAATATCTGAAAACTGCAATCCAGGAAAACATTTTTGTATTATTACAGGTGTAGAGGATATGAAAAGACAGTATCTTTAAGAATCTAGATTGCTCTTGTTTAACCTGGGATGCAGTGATGAATTTAAGTGGATAGGTTTTGGATGATTCCAAAATGTCTTAAAACACTTGGATTATTTAAAGCTTAGTGAATGGGACCTTTTCACTGAGAAAAGTTTTGTGAAGGGCAATGTGTAGGGTCTGTATAAAGGCATTCTTTGCACATTGGGTTTATCTTCTGTCCACACTCCTGCATAGAACAGAGCTGGCATTCCCTGACCTTCACAGCCTGTCGCTGTCCCTAGGCTCACTGCGATGAAGAAGATTAAGAAAGGATTAGGATTAAATTTTTTTCCCCTCCTGTTCAGTGACAGAGATCTGTCATTTACATTAAGGAACATCAAACGATGTTCTGCTATTGTAAAAGTGCCCTAAAATTTCAGATATGCCATATCTTGTTACTGAAAAGACTAAATACATGCTGTAAAATATAATAACCAACTCTGAAGTATCTGGATATAGAATTAGTTGTGCAATTTTTTTTTTTTTAATTATTGTTCAATTAGATATTATATGATTGTCCATATAGCAGTCTCAAAAGTGGCCAGGCATTTTGCCTGTGCTGGTCCTCAGTTAACTGCATCAGCCAAATTCATATGTGGATGCTCCTCATCAGTAACAAATACTATATGCATGTTGTTTGAATCTGCATTGCCAATTTGAATGTTTTGCCTATACAGTCATATACGTACACTAAACCATAAGTATGGAAAAATTCCACTGCTGTGTATAAAAACAAACAGCACAGCTGAGGCTTAGGACTAATCCAGGGAAAACTGAATCTTATCAAAATCCTGAATCCTACCAAAAAACTAATCTTGATGCTCAAACATTTATTTTTCAATGGTTCCCACTCATTGCCGTTTCCGACTGGCAGTGCATACGGAGGGGCATGCAGCTGCTTAGCCTGACAGTTCCAGATGGAGCTATTTTTGAGTCATCTGTATAGAGGGAAAAAGGTGATCAGAATGATTTTAAAAATGAGAAAAAATTGAAACAAAGTTTACACATTCACATAAGGAGGAAGAAATACATTCAAACTTTTAGTCAAAGAAGAAGGACATGCAAAGAGTTTGTGCCTCGTTGATAAATTACTTCATGTGGGCATCATAACTTCTATTTTATCTCACTAAAACCAGCAGAAGAGTGACTTGACATCATCTGGTCCTTAAGGGCACCCATGGATAATGTACTATTTCCTGGGCCAAAGATGTTGAAGGCAGGAATTTTGTTGTTAGATCCATGGTTAGAGCTGGGAGAAATTTAAGTACCTAAATTCTAAGTTTTATTGGAACTAAAGCATCTCTTTTCCTAAACCTTGTGTTAATACATGTGTCCAGAACTCTTTTCTTTCCAGACCCTTGTGAAGTGGTCAGTTCATAGATGTATTTATTTTTTAAAAAATTACACCTGCAAGCATAAGCTATCTATAAAACATAACTTGGTCTTTCAAAATGAGCTGGTGGTTCAGATTTCTTTCTACTAAATAAGTTAATCATTCGCGTACATGCACATGTACATGTACAAGCCTGGGCTGAGAAGACAACCATTGGTCAAAATGTGACTGTCCCTGTTTTTGATCTCTCCTACTGAGTGCTTTAATCACTAAATTCCAAATAACACTTATCCATTCCATCTTCAAAATTCATAAATTCAGTAATCTTGAACTTATTCTAGTACGCTAAAGCAATATCAGCATCTGAGATGCAGTGTGCTCCCTTGCATGAATACCTGATAACCAGCTATCTGGGACACTGTTGGGAGACTAGAAGTAGGACATGTCAGTTTGCAACCACTTGGGACTCCTCTACCCCGAGTAAAAACTCTGTTCACCACAGTACTGTACAACAGTTTCATTATTAAAAGAACAAGTATAAAATAAAATTTTTCAAAATAAAATACTTACAAGTGAAAATTAAATATATTATCTATCTCACACGTAAAATATAGCTCTTTCATTCTATGCTCTGAACTAGAGCATTTTTCATATGGTTTTAGGTGGAAAACTGCCCACAAAAGAGAAGTTATGTTTTCTAGACAGAGATAAGAATTACTTCCCTGCTATTAAAAACTTATATTATTTGTGAAGTCATACCTGATAATATATGAAATGAAACACTAAACTCCAATTTCTTTTAAAACTAAGATTATAAGCAGTGATTGTAATAAAGTTACAAATTACTGTGTGTTACTTATGAGGTATAATTGCACAATACTTAATTCTCTACCTAGTTTCTCACTTGAGCCATAGCTAAATATACCCCATTGGTGTCACATACCTTTTTCAGTTTGATGACTCCCTCCTGGGTGTTCTCATCTGTTGTGATGTCAAACAAATTTCCTCCGTCTCCTGGAACTATGTTGTACTCAATTTCTGCGTTTTTCCCAAAATCAGGGTCCACAGCTCTGATCCTTCCAATAGCAGAACCAACATGGGAGGACTCAGGTACTTTTAAATGGAAGATACCTGTGACAAAGTGGTAGACAGTTAATCTTGGGATTTCTTGATAATTAAGATAGTATGTCTGATTAAAACCATGGAACCTGTGCAAAAAAACAGACTTAAATCATCCAATTATAATGAAGATATCAAAACAAAGAAAAAAGGATTAGAAACAGATATGCAAGTTTTACCCACTGAATGTACTAATTTCCTATAGTTTCTATATTTGGTCCAGTGTAACTGTAAGGGACTTAGCATCTCTATCTCTTGAGTTATTTATCTGTACCTCTATATTGAATTTTACCCATATGATTGACTCTTTTGAATTAAATTGTACTTGTAGTCAGTACATGTTTAGAAGCACTTTCCTCCTTCTATGTTTAACAGGTTTTAGTATCTGACTTTGTATTTTGTTTGAAAAAATATATCTATACATTTTACAGTAATTGAAAGGAAAAAATCGGTGGAAAAAGGATTTCCACCCATTTCTGTAATATCCAATATTGTAATTACATGTACAACTCCTTGTGGGGAGATACTGTGTGCACATAAGCCACCAGAGGGTGCTCTTATTAAAATTTCAGTGCTAGTCACACATTTTTAGGTCTGCACGCTTTTATTTACTATTAGCGGTAATAAAAGTAAAAAAAAAAAAAAAAAACCCACAAGAAAATTACACACTTTTAAAATAAGCATTACTACTGATATGTGAAGACAAAATGGTTTCATTCAGGGAAACAGCTATGTTGAAAAATGCTAGACATAATAGCTAAAAGAGCTAAATGAAAAAGTCCAAAGTACTTTGAGTCAGCCTTGACTTTAATGACACCAGTAGCAGCAGGGCTTAGTTTATAACACTGTGCTGACTGCACTGCTGCTGAAGCGCCTGCGGTTCCTGTCCAGCTGTACCTCTGGCCGCAGTTGTCACTTCGCACAGCTGCCGGTGAACACCACCATGGCGAGCGCTTCTAGCGGGCAGGTAGCGCTCGCCTTTGCTGTCAAAAGCACCAGCAGCTTTTGGAGCTGATTTCAGCGGGCCCAAGGATGTTTGATTTGCTTCACCCTGGCTCTCTGCGAAGCTAGCGTTTGCTTTGCCCTGTCATTTCGTTCTCCCGGGTCGTCCTCCAACAGCTCTCGCAGAGCAGTGCCTTCAGCGCGGGAACGCACCAGCGGTGGCCTTCTCTGTGCCTCTACATGTGAACACGTAGGAGGAAATTTACACCTCTTTTTCAACAGTGTAGCAGGACAGGCATCTGTGAGTAGTGGGAGGCATATTAGGGGAACGTCTCAGAGATTTCTGCCTGGTAGTGGTTCAGTCACACTTCCCAAATTAAGGCTCTGAGAAGTTGTGTGTCACGTAACAGCAGGATAGGTGACTCTGGCATCCAGCTGCTGAATTAAACAGCAGACGCTGTTCCCTGTCATTATCTTCTTACAAAGCATGCTGTGTCAGCTTTTTCAACTTTACAATATTTCCAGGTGAGGAAAAAATGACATCGGCACAGCTGGATTAGGAGCAAACCTATTCTTTTGTGAGCTAGTAGTCTGGGCTATGGTACCTATATGATTGTCTGATTGCCTCTGAAAAAATGTGTTTTGCCTGCTTCCTCCCCCTGTCTATCGGTATGCAAAGTATACCTGATGGCAAAATTTGCTTTGTTTGTTTGAGAAAATCCCTGTAAGTAAAGTCTGTTTGTGTCAGCAAACGTCCACATTGGGACATTACCAGGTGTGGCTTTGTAGTACTCATTGACTGAGCTAGTAAAGGTTTAATTATCATTTCCCTATGTTTTTCCAAGGGAACATTCTAAAGCAACCTTCCCTCTTCTTTTTCCAAGGGAATGTACTAAAGGAAGCTTTACTACTAATTTTAACAGCTGGAAAGGAGCACTATGACACAAAATATTATCAAGACAGGAGTTGCCTCAGCTATTTCTTAGTGTACTTTAATGACTCTGAGTAAAGAATAAAATTTTAATTTTATTGTGCAGGAGACAATCACAAATCCTCCTATTATCTACTGTCACTTACAAATATGTCTATTCCTCGGTCTCTGCTATGCAAGTTATTCCAAAGAAGTGGAAGAAAAGGGCTCTAAAAGGGCTTTGTCTACATTTGAATATTATACCACATTTACACAAAATAGCTCTGGCCCTGATGCCCAGGTCTTTTACAGACACACTGGATGACAGAAATCATTGCTCCAGTGTTTGCTCTTTACAGCCACAATTTTGGTGAACGTGAAATATAAGACCATATGATAACGGATTTTTCCTTCTTTGCCTAGTTGATCTATTCTTAGTGAACTGAAGAGCACCCAGATTCATTAAAACAAACATTTCTCTATAAAATATGGCACTCGGCTGTAAAGCGTATGGGACTCAGATGGAGTCAAAGAAACACTACATTACTCATTTCAGATTGTTTAGGCTTTTATCAGTTATTTTCAATGACTTGGCATTTCATCACTTCCAGAAATTCAACAGCAATAAAGATGGGGTCATTCAGATTAATTTGGAACTCTGGAGTAATCTTCAGCTCTGCCAGAGTCAGATCTCTGAAGATGTAGTATGTAATTACAATGCCATCATCCTCCTGTAATAGTAGCTTCACAGCATATGGAAGCTGTTAATGGTGCTACTGTGACAACATACTTTCAGAATAAAATAAATTAAAACAAATAATGTGTATTGTTGCAAGCTCAGGGAAAAACTTCAAGATAATATAATGTACAGCCTGAAAACCTTCTTTTCCCAGCCTCCAGAAAACAGTCTTTGTAGAGAGGACATTTGAAATGATCAATACAGGCTGCACATAAAATGTAACAAAAAGACTGTTTTGTAGATTTTTATTTTTCTGTTTCTATATTACATTACTTCTTGCTGTGGACTCGCTGTGACAGTTTAACATTATTCAGTTTTTATTGTCCATTTTGCCTGTATACACTACTACCTCCATTTGCTATAGAGGTATATTGAAACCGGCCTGAGTAATAGACTTTTACTCCCAAAGGTCCTGAAAAACTTGTTCTCTGCAGCTTCAGGAATGATGGAAACAGCAGCTCAGACAAACTTATGCAGCAGCTGGTTATGCTGCTCAAACCATTCTGTTAAATTTTGTAGATTGTCTCGTGTGACTTCTCTGCCTACAAAAATCTTTTCTTCTACTTGCATAAATTTCTTTTAAAAATGCTTTCTAAGTTTGCTGCTGGCTTTTGTAAAAGATGAGTGATATGAGATGTACCAAAGGAGCAAGCCCTTACTTCCCTCAGAATGCACTATGAAACTGGAATCTGCAACTAGTTACCCTTTTGCTGATTTCAGTCATGTATATTGTATGCAAGTCAGAATATCTTCACGTATAGGAAAGCTAGTAGCAATGCATATTGCCTGGTCAAGATTTTTGCTCTGTTGTAAATGGAATTTTAAGGGAAAAAAAAATGTTATTTTTAAGGCCAAAATTCATGTGCCAGTTGACATGCTCAACTTATGCAGCTGTTCACACTTAAATTGTACTTAAAATTCAATCCAGAATGCAAAACTAGAGAAAGCTCAGAGGCTATGTAGCTTAGCATAAGCATGCAGGCATTCCCTTATAAAGCCTGCGCAGTCTGTATGTGACTTACAGTGTGAAATTTCCCTAGAGTTTCAGGTTGAGTAGCGTCAATGATGATAAAAATAAATGAGTGAGTGATGATGCTGTTGAAGCTTTTAGGCTGAAATGACTGATAGGGCTTATTACTCAGCCCCAAAGTGTTCAGGAAACTGAGGTGGAGGTGAGCTAACAACTCATACACACTGCCTCTGAGTTTCTAAAACAAAGATGGTTCCAAAGCACACAGCAGGAAGAAATCAGAGCTGAATAAGTGCCAGGTAATCAGTCATATTGACTGAAATTCAGCACACATTTACAGTTCTTTTGACAAGGTTAGATTAGTTTTAGTTTTTAAGGTTCAAAAGTCGTTCTGGGGTTTGATTTTTACTTACAAAGAGTTTTTTTCTTTGTTTGGTTTCTCCACACCTGCAGTTTACAGGTACACTATCATTTACCAAAAAGATTTTCAATTCTGATGAGAATAAGAAATGAAAACCATCATTACAGCTCATCAGCAAAACAACCATTAAGAAATAACCCAGGTTAGCATCTAAGGACTTAAGATAAATGCATAATGGCCTTCAACTAAACAGCTGTAAATGGTATTTGAGCTTTTTTCTAATCTGTCACCATACCTGCACTGTGTGTATGCAAGATTATCCTTTCCTGCTTTCTCTTTGTCTATACTTTTTAGTTCTGTTTGGCAGCTGCCAAAGTAATGCATTGCAGTTAGTCATGATAGCATGAATCTTAGAGGTAACAACATTGAAATAAAATTATTTCTTTCTCTTTGATCTAAATATTTAATGTTTTCTCAGGGAAAAAAAAAAGCAGACTATGTATATTATAATATTCTTGTTAGCTTAAATTACCAAAACATTTCAGTTTTTATCCTGGCCAGGTTATAAAGGCACTGATTTCTGTCTGTTTAGGAAGAATCCTAAGAAAGACAACAGTTCATATTTACTTGCTGGTCTTTTAACAGTAGTGTAATAGGTAAAAGAAAGGATGCTGTAAATACAAGCAGATACTCAGTATACTAAACCTGATGCATCAGCTACATCTCATCAGCCTAACAATTAGTGGCATCTGATGTACATGCTCTTAAAACTGGGAAGATGTGATTTAGCACAGCAGCAAGATATATTCGTGCCTCTCCTTGCAGTGGCTCTGTGCCCTGCAGGGGGCTGGGACCTTGTGTAGGGCAGAGGAAGGTCGGGCTTCATCACCATGTGCTCTGATGCAGGTCACACATGACCTGGCATAGGCTGGTAATGTCAGTTATGGCAAGGTTTCTTCCATCCTCAAACCCACTGCTCTGAGTTAGGGTTTATGGCCTCATTAGATATAGCATAACCATTCTTAAAAATTCCTGATTCTCTATTGTGGAGCCCAAAGTCCACACCTAGCAAGAGTTACATCTCCCCAGA